TTTGAGTTTGAGTTACACATGTGCATAGTAACTCAAAACGTACCATGAGGCCATAGACGAGACTGAAGCAGCTGTTTCCGACGGCTGCGGCGGCTAGTTCTTGACCGCCGACATGTCCGGCGAAAATTCGAGCAGAAATATTCATTCCACTCTTGACTAAATACACAAGTATCGCCGGAAATGCTAACCGGAAAAGTAGGTTCAATTCTATACATGCGCCTAAGTACACACGCCTCCGGTATGGAAGGCTAGTATCGGTTAACACGCTCTCAAGTCCGACGTGCGAAAGAGGTTTCTGATCTACCAACGGTCGCCGGAGATCAGATATCTCCGTCGTCTCATTTGACACATCCATTGACAAAAAGTCTTATAACAGAAGCAAAGAAGAAAGTTGAGTGAAGATGTTTGTGAAATAATCAAAGTGAAGAGAAGAAAACTAAGCCCTTTTTGTGTGAAATAATGTATAAATAGGGGGGGGGATTGGAAGTAATTAAGTATGTATTGAAATACTGTCTACTTTTTTTTTTATATAACGAAAATAGGTGTATTTATACGTTTACACTATTTATATATGCAATCCCTAAGATAAACTACATGAGATCAGCCCCGGCTCATACGTCTACTGGCCCTGCCCAAATTTTGTTCAACTCAAATATATGCAATTTTCATATCACATAAAAGAGTTTTTTTCTTTACAATTTGGGCCTTTAGATATAAACAATTTTTTAGTAAAACCACTGTGGGCCATTTGCCCTATCACTCGCAACACATGAGAATAACCGGACCTGCATGTATCCAATTATAAGAAGATTATATCTAAATTATCTAATCTGTCTGCATTGAATTTATCATGTCATAACGATCCCAAAACTCCTCCCTAAAAGTAGAGCGTGAAGAATAAAAATGTTCATCTTGACCAAGAGATAACTGAATTGATGCCGGCAGACAGACTTTGTTGATAAATATGCAAACAGCTATATTGTCGTCGTAAGATTGGTGATACGAAACCTATATTTAACTTCATTTCGAATGAAGTAACGATCCATTTCATTATTTCAATATGGTTTATTTGTTGAACTGTGGAACAAACGTACTGAATGGCTGTAATGTATAGCGCTGCTTGATTTTCATAAAACAAAGACATAGGACGACGTCGGGAGTAGTAATTCCTTTATGCATTTTGAGTTCATAATATAATAAAGCCGCTAACTCCGTCTCAACAAAAGAACGACTCATTGTTGCTTCCACGAGATGATCGAGTTGTCAAACATGACAACAAAACTGGAATGCATGGTGAAAAGGTAAGATGCTTAGTATAAATCTCAAAACCAGAGAATTCGAGCCCGTTCGTTGAGTTGAGCAAAATATCCTGACCCGAACATTTTTATTCATGTGTAAGTCGCCTTGGAATGCCCCTCCTGCCCTTATCACAATTAGACCCTAACACCCGATTTCGGGGCACATGCCCATTCTCGTCCAAAAAAGACTGTTGTCAACTAGTTTTACATATCACCACAGGGCACGGGCAGTGGGCTTCCCATTTTTTTTTTTTTATCTCAAGCTGTACAAAAGAAACTCGAACTAGGGTGTTTGGTGGGTCATCCCTAAGAAACTATGGTACAGAATCTTCATTTTTTCGTGTACTAAGTTATATTTAAAGATATTAACCAGGTCAATTGACCCACCATCCTCCTTACTAGGTTCGCTACTGACCACGGGTTCACGGTTATACCTTTTCAATAGTTTATTACTAATACATGACTAGATCAAAATAGAGTACTCAAATAAAGAAAAGGTCTAAATTACATTAAATATATAGGATACTAAAAATTGTCAATAGGATAATTCTTTCAAAATTAAAGAAAATATCATTTTACGTAGATTTTATAATTTTGTTTTTGTTTTTATGGGTTAGAATACTGGATTTTGTGTTAAGAAATCAAAGTTTAAATTTAAACTATATTTAGGAAAAGAAGAACAAAAAAACATAAATATAAAGCTAAACATGTACATCATTTGACTTAAAGCTAAAATCACCGATCCGACGACAGGGTCAATTTTAGGACACACACACGCATCAGACTCAGCTTTTTCCAATTAATTAAATTTAAAAAATCGAAAAAACATTAATCCATCTCCGGGATGCTCTGTAACGCCGGTCTCCACGGCCTTTGATGATAATCTGATAAATCGACGGCGAATCCGATTTTATCTCCACCGTCAACTAGTAACTTAGAAAGAATTTCTTCCGCCGTCAAACTCTTCAAATCAATATTTCTTATAAGATTTTCAAGCTCCTTCTTAGTCATCCTTATCTTAATCTCTCTTTTCACACATGAAGACGAAGATGACGAACTGGATGACGTCACTGTTTCTCCGAGGAGTTTCTCTCCGTCGTCGTCGCAGTCGTGGCACACGGTGGATGTTCTTCTTCTTCGACTCTTGTTAACTAATGAGTCTCCGGTAGTTTTGTTTGTTACACATATGCAGTTTCCCATTTTTTGTTTTTAGGGTTTTGTTTAGTTTGTTTGAGATTTTAGAGTTAAGAGAGGATCTATAAGTATTTATAGTGCATGTCTTTTCTTAGTATAAAAGAAATGGATAAAAGGATTGAGGAAAAAAGATTGGATTTGTACGGCCATGTTGGGAGGGAAGACAAAAGTTGATTAGTCTTTACGTGAAATGGTCTTTTTTTCAAAAGTTACGTTGTAATTAGTTGACCAAAGTTGTTTCATTCTCATCCACTTCATGTAACTGATTTACTTCAAAATTATCAACACAACTGATTTACTTCAACTAAAATTGCTTTTTACGTAGAAATTCTATTTTTGAAATAGTGGATAACATTTGATTCTACCTTTCTATATATAGTCTTACTTTTTAAAAAGAAGTTTTGGGAATATGTAAAAAAAATGATGGTAAACATAACCAGCAACATACTTCATAATACAAATAAATTTTGGGATCTCAATTTTTGGTGTGTACATTTGCAAGAATGCCACTTAACAGTGTCCATTTGCAAAAACGTTACTAATTATAGATTTTT